AGCTCTGGGCAAATGGAGGTCTGCCACCCCTACCTCGGAGCCCTGTGGCTCAGAGACAGGGAATCTGCCTCCACGGTGACTCCCAGGCCCTGCGAAGCCACAGATGCTCAAATAGCCACCAATGGGCTGCATAGCATATAAAGCACTTTTAATCCTGACAACCAGCCAGTGAGGTGAAGGATCATTTCTATTTTACAGATGGGAACACAGAGGCAGGCTCCCAGAGATGGAAAGACTTGTCAAGGTCACACAGTCTATAAACAGCAAAGTAAGAAGTGAGCCAAGGTCTGTCCAGTTCTGAGGCCAGAGCGTTTCTTCTAAGTCATCAATATTGCTTCTCTGGGGCCTGGCGGGATGTCCAGAAGCGGGAGCCACAGCAACTCCACTTTGTTCCTGTTTCCCTTGGTAGCACCCTTCTCTCCACCGTAACCCCTGGCTTCCCCTCGCTGCCTGCTTCTGGGCAAGTCACATGCTTCCTGGGCTCTTGAGTCACTGCCAGTGGGTGGCCCTGTCACGAGCCGGGAGGGGGATGTGGGTGGGTGAGTACTTCGGGGAGAGCACCGCTAGCCTCAGCAGACTCAACACAGCAGAGGAAGAACCCAGAGAAATATCCCAGAGAGAGTGAGACGAACTGGAGCCCAGCCCTGCCACCACTGGCTTTCCAAACTCTTCTGTCTCATCCATAAAACAGGGTCATTATGAAGGTCAGATGAATATTTTCGGACATTAATTCAATATTTTTTAGCACCCACTACATGCCAGGCACCGTTCTAAGCCAATGGTTCTCGACTGAGGCAACTCCCCCCAGGGGACATTTTGCAGCATCTGGAGATGCTTTTAACTGTCACAAATGAAGGACAAGTGCTGCTGGTAGGCCAGGGATGCTGCTAAACATCCTACAACTCGCAGAACAACTCCCACAGCAACCATATGGCCTGAATGTCAAGAGAACTGAGAACAAGAAATCCTCTTCTAGGCTATGAACAAGTGAACAAGTCCCTGCCCTCACCATGCTTAACACTCTAGTAGAAAGACACAATGCAAGTGAAAGAAATATAATAGGCCATGAGTGTTACAGAGGAAAACAAAGCAGGTCAGGGGAGTGAGAGCACCTGGTGGGGAGCTTTTATAGGTAGGATGGCCAGAGAAGGCATTCCTGAGAAGAATTCATTTCAGCAAAAGAAAGTGCAGGAAGGAGACCAGAGGATATCAGCGGGAGGAGCATTCAAGGTAAAGGGGAAGCAAGTGCAAAGGCCCTGAGGCAGGGGTGTGTGTGGCATGTCTGAGCAACAGAAAAGCAGCCCACATGGCATAAACCTGAGAACTAAGTTGATGTGTAGAGCTGAATGAAACACACACACACCCCCCACGGATGGCATCAAAACTCTCCCCCTCCAACCTTCTTGGCTACTCCTCCAGGAGCCACTGAGCCAAACCCAGAACCACAGTGAGGGCCACATCCTCAGTCAGCAAACAGGTTCCCCTCTGGCATATCAGACAGGGGACAAAGAGACATCCCAGGACAGCAGGTACCCTGGATCACCCATCTCCACCAGAGGCTAATGTCCCCAGGCCAAGCTAGGAGTCCCCAGCCTCTCCCCTAACTCAAGCTGGCCCCAGGCCCCTAGGTATTGAGGCCCCTCAGCCTCAGGCCAACCCAGCAGGTAGAGATCCCCTCAGCCCCCTCCCAGCAACAACAGAAAGCCAGACAGCTAGAGCCCTGCCCATCCCCATTAGATGGCTCACCTATCCTGCCAGCTATACTGGCATTTGTTTGTTGAATGAATGGATGACTAGATGAATGAATGATGCATTCCACCCCAGCCAGCAAATACAGCTTTTAAAGGAGGCAAAAACCCTGCACGCAAAGTGATTCTGCCACACCTGCAGCAGCTCAGGTCTCCCTGGGGCTCTTTCTACAACTTGATTTATTACATCTGCCACAACTGAGTATCCACTGTGTGCCAGGGACCCGGGTGGGGGCAGACGGGGGATACAGGCATGGGGAGGGTAGAGTAAGAAGAGCTTTGGAATCAGGCAGACCTGCATTCGAACCTCCCCACCCCCTACCCTCCAGTTCTATAATCCTGGGAAATACCATAACTTCTCTGAGCCTCAGCTTCCACATCTCTAAATGGGAACGCCACCTTTTAAGAGTTGCTATAAGGAAGGCTTCAGCAAGATTCTGTAGTTAAATCCTAAGCATGCTGCCTGGTACTTAGTAGGCATTCAAACAACAGGTGCTATTGTGGTGCTAATAATAAGGAGGAAGACCCCCCAGTACCTGCCCTCAAGGAACTTTCCATCTATTGAGGTGGATAAAACACAACCAGATTAAAAAGCAGAAGGTAGTCTGTCCTAGAGAGGGATGAAGGGCTGGGAGTTCAAAGAGCAGAGGGTCAAATCCAACTGGGAAGGACTCCCCTGGCGGCACAGTGGTTAAGAATCCGCCTGCTAATGCAGGGGACACGGGTTCGAGCCCTGGCCCGGGAAAATCCCACATGCCTCGGAGGAACTAAGCCCATGTGCCACAACTACTAAGCCTGTGCCCTAGGGCCCGAGAGCCACAACTACCGAGCCCGCGCGCCTAGAGCCCGTGCTCTGCAACAAGAGAAGCCGCCGCAATGAGAAGCCCACGCACCGCAGTGAAGAGTAGTCCCAGCTCGCCGCAACTAGAGAAAGCTCACGCGCAGCAACGAAGACACAATGCAGCCAAAAAAATAAATAAAACAGAAAATAAATAAATTTTTTAAAAATCCACCTGGGAGAGTGAGGAAAGGCTTTGGCGTAGGGGGTGGGGGGAAACGTGCAAAAGACCCTTAAGGATGGGGGAAAGGGTGCACCGCGGAGAGAGACAGCATGGAGTACGAAGATACACAATGGCCGTGTTTCGTGGGGTACAGGGTACGATGCAGAGAGGTGGCAGGAAACACCCGGAGACCTCATTCGCTCTGGCCTGAGACACCTGGGGGAGTTTCTGCCTTGGCCACTGGGAGCCTTTTGCTTCCCAGGCAGGGAGAGAGGCACTCCAGTTTGAGGGGGGCCACCCCAGCGATGCCACCGAGGAGGATCAGTGGGAGAGGGGGCAGGGGCCAGGGGCCCAGCTAAAAGGCTGTGAAGACAGTCCCGGAGAAGGGAACCTGAGCTGATACAGGAGCTGGGCACACGGGAGGGAAGTGAGAGACTCAGGAGAACCCCTCAAGCAACTCCAAGACCAGGGGCTGCTGTCCTGCAGAGAAGCCCTGTGCCTCCTCCCCCCAGGGGCTTGTATGTCCCCAGGTTCGCTGAGGCACAGTGATGCCCCTAGTCCTGGCACGCTGCAGTCAGGCTGGGGACCAGAGCCATCAGCATCCACACTCGAGTCTCAGACCTGGGACTCTCCTGACCTCCTCTGTTTACAGAACAACCTCTGGGGCAGCGCCCCCAGGTCCCACCCTGGCACCAACTGTGAATGAGTCAGTTCTGGTCTGACCACCTCCATCCTCTGCCCTTGAGAACTGAACTCTAAAGGTGTCTTTAGCCTTAGCCAGTGAGTCCCCTCACATGAGTCAATGCCACCTCCCACCTTCCTCCCTGGTCAAGATATCCAGATGGGTCAGCACACACCCATCCATCAGGGTAAGATCGTGAGGAAAGGATGAGGCACACCTCCTCCCAGCCAAGAGGGGAAAGGAAGAGGGGTCCCTTTGGAAGAAAGAGAGCCCCCCATGCCCTTCCATGAAACACAAGGAGTTTACTGAGCCTCAGTTTTCCTTCTCTGCAAAATGGGGCTATTCTTTTCTTTAATTAATTAATTTGTTTGTTTGTTTGTTTGTTTTTGGCTGCGTTGGGTCTTCGTTGCTGCACGCAGGCTTTCTCTAGTTGTGATGAGCGGGGACTACTCTTTGTTGCGGGCTTCTCATTGCGGTGGCTTCCCTTGTTGTGGAGCACAGACTCCAGGCGTGCAGGCTTAGTAGTTGTGGCGCACGGGCTTAGTAGCTCCGCGGCATGTGGGATCTTCCCAGACCAGGGCTCAAACCCGTGTCCCCTGCATTGGCAGGCGGATTCTTAACCACTGCGCCACCAGGCAAGTCCAAAATGGGGCTATTCTGTCTTACCAGACCACGGAGACAGCCACAAGAGGCAAAGGTGGAACAATCCTCTGTCCACTCTCTCTCCCTTGCTATTGTGGTGGGTGCAGTTAGCGCTGAATAACAGCTCTGGGGTCTCTGCTCTCTCCATTTCCCTGGAGCCCCTTAGACAGCATGTTTGTCTTGATAACCAGCCCAGAAGTCCTCCCCAACCCCTGTCGCCCAGAGCTCAGGCACAGAACCTTGGGGAGGTCAGCCCAGGGGAACCTGAGGGCACTGTCTCCCTCCCTATCACCCCAGAGTCCACAGACGGCAGGCTCTGAAGTGGCCACTGGACACTCCAGGTGGATCCTGGGGAAGGGGTCTGGGCAAAGGGCATGGAAGACAGTCCACAGTCTGACTGTGCCCTTATTAGGTGCTTCTGCACACCTGGCCCTGTTCTTTTACACACGCAGCCCCAGCATTTCTAAGAAAGAGGAAAACCGTAGCCCAGAAGGGAGGAAGTCTTCTGAAGAAGGTGCCGGGCACCTGTAGTGGGGACGGAGCCCCAGTACAGCTCACCGCCTACCCCCACCCCCAAGTCACCCCGGAGAGGCCAGGGGTCGCAGGGGAGTTGGGTTCCGCAGTCTGGCTGGGATCTGCCCAGGGCCCGCTGGCCGGCCACCGACGGCGGAGGGACCAAGGTGCGACTCCGGGTCGCGGTGGCCAGAGTTCCGGCCCCGGGCGCACGTGTGCCAAACCCGGGGTCCCCAGAGGGTCTCCAGCGGCGTGCATCTGATCCGGCGTGGCGGGTGCAGCGCCTCCGTCGCCCCGAGCCCCGCACCCCTGTCACGGCGCCCCGGACGCCCCGGGGCGGGGGACGCGCGCCAGGCCGGGGTGGATGGGATGGCGCCCCCCCCCTCCCCAGACAGGGCCGCGCGAGTCACGTACCTGGGCGGGCACGGCGCGCCCTGCGGCCCAGAGCTGCAGTCCGACGGCCAGCGCGGCCCAGAAGGCGGTGGGCAGCATGGGTGCGGGCGGCTCGGCGGGCCCCTTGCGCCCTCGCGCCTCCGCTCCCGCTCCGCTGCCTCTGGCGCCTCCGACTGAAAGCGAAAGCCGGCGCGTGGCCGGAGAGAGGCCGGGGGACGGGGCGGGGTGGGGCGGGGCGGGGGCGTGGACAACCTCCTCCCCGCCCCACACTGACGGCCGTCCCGCCCCCAGCCCCCCCTCTCACCCCAGCTCTGCCAGCCTAGCGCTGGGTCCATACCTCCAGCGCCAGCCACTCCCAGCCCTCTGAGACCCTCCAGCCTCCTTCTAACGTCCCCTCCCCTTCGAGTCACCCTTCCCAGCGGGGCTGGTGGGATGGGAGAGGGGGCAGGAGACCCGCATTGGGGTCGGGCTCCCACCAGGCTTGCGGCTGACCTGAGGTTTCACCTACCCCTCCCACCTCCTGCAGGCTCCCCACTCCCTTGGCGGTGGGGCACGAATTTGGTGAAACATCCCACACAACTGACACTAGCTCACGGGCATTCTAAATTATTCCCTCATTAGACTTTATCTGACTTTAGAGCCAGACCACCTGGGTCTGCATCTCTGCATTAACCTCACAGAGGCAGACTGAAGATTGAAAGTTATATAACACACATACTATAGTATATATTATATATGTATGTAAACTTACAAAGTAAGTATAAAAGTAACTTAATAAGTTCTGTATACATATTAGCTGTAATTACTGTTATTCATTTGTTCATTTATCCTTAAACATTCTTCATGCCCTCCTCAGAGTGAGCTGGAGCCTGCCCTGACCTCCTTCTTGAGTCCCCTGTCCAGGTGGCTGACCAGTAAACAGAGGCTGGGACAGAAAGCTGTGGGAGCCCAGAATGGGGCTGGCCCAGGCCAAGGGCTGTGAGGGCTGGTTCCCCTGGAGTTGACATCTGAGCACCCACTCCAGCTGCCAGCTGCACCCCCTGTGCTTTGAGTGCCAGCCCTAATACCAGGGCCAGCCCTGCGGGACCAGAACATATTCCCCCAGCCCTGGGAGTCCTTGCCCCCAGCACATAGGGCGTTTCTGAGGGGCAGGGTGACAGGAGGGGAGGCTATTCTGTTCCCTCACTGCAGGCTGCCCCAAGCGAGGTCCGGGGACCCCTGCTCTGGGCAACCAACCCCTGTGATGGAGACAGCAAGGATGATGCTTCTAGGTGCTGAGTGAGAAACTGGGAAGTGACCCTTGGCAGATGGAAAATCCCACCTCCTGATCAAGAGACTGGGAAATTACCTGGTTTCCACACGTTTCTAAGACATGGGCCATGCTAAGGGCGAGGCTAGCACAGCCCACAACCTTAACTCTGCAGAGAGGGTCAGACTCTAAAACTAGCATGAAGATTTCTTCTGGCCCTTACAAGTCTTGTCTGGGAGCAGTCTGGAGGAGTCCCTGATCCATAAGAGAGAGCCAAAGGCCAGGAGTGGGGTGTCACCTGGTGAAAACAGGAGCAAACGGTTCTCCATGGATGCCCCCTACACACCTCAAACCCAGTGGGCCCCACTGACTCATTGCCTCCAATGGCTCCCCGTCCCAGGGGGCGGCACCACCACCACCCAAACGTTGGGATCCTCCTGGGATCCCACCTTCCATCCCAGCTGCACCTACTGGACTCCAAGAGGTGGGTGACAGCCAAGCCAACAGGAAAGCAAACCCTCTGTCTAGTGATTCTGTACAAGGTACTTAATACAGAGGACTTGATTATAAAGATGTTAGAGAAATTAAAAGAACAATTAGAGGAAAGGGAGACTAGTCTGAGATTAACAACTGCGAGAAGCCACCACCACCTCTGGGGCCAGAAGTGGCGTTACCAAAGCCAGGAGCTGGGGCATCTTGGGGCATCTGGAACCGTGCAGGAGACAGAGCCACTGTTAGAGACGCGCGTGAAGCAGAGAGGAAGAAAATATCCTGCTTCTCCCTTCCTCCCACCCTACGATCTCCCACCAGTGACTCCCATTGACCAAACCTAAGACAGGAGCCACTTACCAAAGGAACCTGGGAAATGTAGTTTGTTGGGGTCAGCCCACTGCAGTGGAGGGGGTGGGGGTGGGGGGACAAGATGGCAGGGCCTGGAGCTGAGCGCAGGCAGATAACAGGCGAGGGTCTAAGGAGAAAGTCTCACTTCTTGTTACACTTGCTTGGGGGACCTATTTTTTCCCAGACTCTGCATGAAATCCTGCACAGGTCCTGGAGCTTTCCAGGCACTCTCAGGCAGGAAAAACCTTCTGGTCTACCAGATGAGAGTCCAGTGCTGCCCTGGGAACTTAAGAGAGCTACAGTCTTTTCTCCAGGGTGGAGTTTCTCCCCTTCTCCAGCTGAACCCAGGCTGGATCCTGCCTGGGTGTGGGAGGACCCGGCGACTCCTCTCTTGACTGCCGAGTGTGGTTGGGGAGAGGGTTTTGGAAGCAAAGGGCACAGTGTTTCATGACAGCTAGAGCTGTCACCCACACACACACACACTGGGGCCTCTGGGAGGCAGTTTCTGGCTCATTCTCTCTAGGGGCACTTTTGCAGGTGTCTAGGAGACCTTCTTGCTGATTCCTCTGACCGTGGCTCCCCAGCACCAGGGATACCTGAGCCTCCTGCTGGCCATAGCTTACCATAACCCCCTTGAACCCTACATGAGTGGTGGCCTCCAGGCTTCTGCGCAGGGCTCCTCCCCATAGGAAGCACTATGGGTCAGAGATGACCCAAGGCCGGCTTCCTCCCCGGAGCCCACGGTTGCCCTTCACCCTACACCTGGAGCAGCCAGGCTCACACCCATGCACCCTGTCTCGCTCCAGCTCTGCCACCTCAGGCCCATCCAGCCACAGGCTCCAACTTACATCACGACCTTTCTGGAGCACCTGCTGGGTGCCAGCCCTGGGGTGCTGGGCGCTTAGTGCACAAGCACTTGAGAGTCTCCCATCAGTCTTCTGGTCCCTAAATGCCTGTGATGTCAAGCCAGGGGATTCAAACACATAGTCAAGGAGCTCTGTTCATCTGGCTGCCTCTCACTGCTGGACTGTGTGGTCCTCAAGGGCAGTGGGACTTGGTCGTGGTCCCCTCTATTTCCCTGCTGACAAGGTGATACCCAGAGTCGGGGCTCAGTAGGTTTGAAGTGGATAAGGGCTGCATACAGGACGAGTGTACACAGGAGGCAAGAAAGGGGAGAGGAAGTGAGTGAGCGAATGAAAGGCTGAGTGAATGTCAGGGTCAAGGCCCCAGAATCCAGTCCAGCTCCATCACTCCCAGACCCTATGCACTCTGCCAGGTCTCCCAGGCCATGCATCTCTTAGACCCCTAGTCCCATGATGCAGAAAAATCCCACTTGCTCCTCGGTAATGGGTAGCAGGCAGGCTTCCAGCACACAGGACCATGGCCCTCTGGTCCCCAACTCAGGGGCTGCAGGTACAGTTATCTGAACCTTGGGGCTCCCTGGAGGCTTTCCTCACTTCCCCGTGCAGCCCATAGCCCCCAGCCATCTCGCACACACCACCCCAGCAAGCTGATGCCCGTGCTTTACAAACTGGTGTAGAGGAAAGCTTAGCCATGGCAGGCGTCGTGCAGAAGAACAGCCAGCCTGTCCACCAATATTTACTGAACATCTACTATGTGCTGGGTGTTCTAGTGAACCGTTTGGAAGAATGGCTCTCCAGCATCAGCCAGCATCAGAACCATCTGGAAGTCTTGTTCAACAGGCAGATTCCTGAGCCCCACTCCCACGTCTGTTGAGGGCCTGACAATCTGGCTTTTTAATGAGCCCCCAGGTGACTGACAGACACCTTTTGGGAAACAGGGTTTAGCTGCAACAGGTGCCGTGGCTGAGGGTGGTTCGGAAGGCATTGCTGTGGTCGCTCTGGGAGGGGGAGTTTACACTGTGGGGGAGGTCTCAGAACCCGCCATCAAATCTTGTGACCTGGTCTCCAGGAGTTCCAGTGGGATCCTGTCTTGGGCAGCAGGACCCCATCCCCAGCCCCACCCAGTCTGGCCCACAGCCTGGGCAAGCAACCTTCTCTCTCATCCTACTGTCCTGCTTGTCTCAGCGCCCTGGATGCTCTGGGTCAGCCCCTTGATGACTCATGTCCCAAAATCTCAAAAAGGAAGTGGTGCTGGGGTGAGCCACAGCTCTGCACCCGTCTTCTTTATCTGTCGAGGCCTCCCACCTGCCCTCCTGCCTACCCCAGGGCCATGTCTTGGGCTGAGATGGCCATACCAACCTTGGGGCAGGGGGTGCTGGACCAGGAAATACTCCCCAGCTCCTGTCTCCATTTCCTTCCAAAGAAGGAGAGGGCAGCTCTCCCTCCCTGCAACCCTCAAAGAGGACTCCAGGCAATTTGGGGAAGGTTGCCAAGAGAGCCTCCAGGCATCCTCCTCCCTCCACTCGACTGAAACCTCCCTGTTCTGGGTTGTCTCTTCCCAGGAACCAATCCCCAAACCTGCCCCAAAGCTGCTGGAGACCCTTAGTTTCTAAGCCCAGCAAGTGGGCCCAGCTCAGACTCAGGGGAGTTCCCATCCTAGCCCCCTCCCTGTGTGAGGGCCTAGAACATCTAGAACATGAGGGCGCTGGATTAGATCAGGGGAGGCAGGCTGCTTTCAGCCTAAATGCTAACTCTGCTTGGTGGTAGCTGCCTAGGGCTTCATGTTGAAAAGGATTCTGAGCCTGTGTGTGACCTTTGCAAGAAAGGATGCTTAACCAAGTAGCCAGGTGTGTGCTGGGTGGGGAAGGAGGCAGCCACAGCAGATCACCCGGCCTCTGCCGTCTCTGGACTAGGTCCAAGTGCCCCTCCTGTTCTGATGTTCAAGGACTCTGAGGTCCATGAGATGTGGGGGCATGGGGATGGAGCTGGGCTGGGCTTGATTCTAAACCACTGCCTTTAACAGTACAGAGCGGGGACTTCCCTAGTGGTCCAGTTTAAGAATCCACCTTCCAATCTAGAAGACGCAAGTTCCATCCCTGGTTAGGGAACTAAGATCCCACATGCCGCGGGGCAACTAAAGCCTGTGT